CTGTTGGAGAATAATTACAAATTCATAGCCTATTAGCATCATTTCTACTTCATATCAAAGCCCAGCCCTATATAAGGTAAACTGTAACTCTCTGGATGTGACTCAAAACAATCACTGACTGTAGAGATCGAGTCATAGTTCTGGCCTCGGCTCTTCACTGGTCACAACTAGAATCACTCTTTTCCAGAGGTGCCTTGTCGCACCTCTTCTTTAAGTATTTATGGATCTCGTCTCTCCCACTTCATTCTTCAGATTATTCCACTTCCCGACAACGCTAAGGCTGAAGAAATACTTTCTAACATCTCTATGACTCATCTGAGTCATAAAGATGTTAGAAAGAGATGTCCCTTTTCACCAGGTCCCTGTTCACCTTGTCAGTATTTTGGACGTCTTTATCATATAATCCCTAATCCTCCAGTCCTGCAGTGTCATCAGGTTGAGTTCCCTTAAATCCTCATAAGACTGCAGGATTAGTCTTGTTGTGAACTTCGGCCCTTTCTCCAGCTGCTCGATATGCTTAACTAAGTGAAGGTTCCATAGTGGTACTGAGTACTCCAATATGGCCTGACGAACAAAGTGTACAGTGTCGTGAAAGACTATTTAGATATCGAAACGCAATTTTTAGATTTGCCAGATACGCATTACCTGGAGTTTACCTGGAGAGGGTTTCGGGGGTCAACGCCCCCTGCGGCCCGGTCTGAGACAAGGCCTCATGGTGGACCAGGGTCTGATCAACCAGGCTTTTACTGCTGGTCGCACGCAGGCTGACGTACGAACCACAGCCCGGTTGATCAGGTATTGACTTTAGGTGCCTGTCCAGTGCCTTCTTGAAGACAGCCAGGGGTCTATTGGTAATCCCCCTTATGTATCCTGGGAGGCAACTGAACAGTCTTGGGCCGCGGACACTTGTTGCGTTGTCTCTCAGTGTACTCGTGGCACCCATGCTTTTCATCGGGGGAATGTTGCATCTCCTGCCGAGTCTTTTGCTTTCATGGGGAGTGATTTTCGTGTGTAGGTTTGGTACCAATCCCTCCAGGACCTTCCAAGTGTATATTATCATGTATCTCTCTCGCCTGCGTTCGAGGGAATACAGATCAAGGACCTTCAACCGTTCCCAGTAGTTTTGGTGCCTTATCGCACTTACGTGTGCCATGAAAGTTATTTGTACGCTCTCCAGGTCTGCAATGTCGCCAGCCTTGAAGGGGGTCGTTAGTGTACAGCAGTATTCCAGCCTAGAGAGTACAAGTGATTTGAAGAAAATCATCATGGGCTTTGCGCCCCTAATTTTGAAGGTTCCCATTATGCATCCCATCATTTTCCTAGCGGATGAGGTAGATACATTGTTGTGGTCTTTGAAGGCGAGATCCTCTGACATTATCACTCCCAGGTCCTTCACATTACTTTTCCGCTCTATTGTATGGTTAGAATTTGTGGTATACCATGACACATTTTTAATTTCTTCAAGTTTTCCATATTTGAGTAGTTGAAATCTCTCCTCGTTGAACTTCATATTGTTTTGAGTGACCCATTCGAAGATCTGGTTGATGTCCGCTTTGAGTCTCGTGGTGTTTTCGATGGAGATCACTGCCATGGTGATCCAGGTATCATCCGCAAAGGAAGACACAGAGCTATGGCTTACATATCTGTCTATGTCAGAAACGAGGATGAGGAATAGAATGGGAGCGATTACTGTGCCCAGCCCTATAAAAGGTAAACTGTCACTCTCTAGATGTGACTCACAACAGTCACTGACTACATTATTATTATTATAATCAAGGGGGAAGCGCTAAACCCGGAGGATTATACAGCGCCTGGGAGGGGGGGGGATGTGGAAGGCATTCAGGCTTAATTCGGGGAACTGGAGCACAGATCCAATTCCCTAAATCAAGAGCCCCTCACCAACATCAAGGAACCTTCCTTGAGGGGTCACTGACTACAGGGATCGAGTCATAGTTCTGCCCCCCCCCCCCCCTCTATACTGGTCGCAACTAGAGTCCTTTTTCGGCTGAAGAGCTTTGTCCTACCTCCCCTTTAAGTTATTAATGGATCTCGACTCTACCACTTCATTCTTCAGATTGTTCCACTTCTTGATAACTCAGACTGAAGAAATTCTTCTTAACATCTTTCATCTGAGTTTTCAGCTTTCAACTGTGCCCTCATGTTCCCTTTGTACTATCTATGAAACATTATGTCTGTGGTCACCATATCAGTATTTTGTAAGTTATTAGCACATACTCTCTAGTCTTCCTATCCTTCAGTGTTATCAGGTCGAGTTCCTTTAACCTCTCCTCGTAAGACTTACCCCTTAGCTCCAGGATTAGGTGTAAGTTTAATACTGGTGCTCCGTACTCCAATATGGTCCTTACGAGCAAAGTGTAGTGTCGTGAAAGACTCCTTACTTAGATGCTGAAATGCTATTCTTATATTTTTAGGTAGAGTGTTCCCCAAAGTTTATTTATTTTGATGGACCCTCAGGGAATATGCTCGGTATTTTTTTCATCACAAGGTCTTCAAATTTAAGAAAGGTTTTGCGCCATTGTCCTGGGGCCTGTACTCCGTTGGGCTTTGTAATTCCCAGGCTTCATAACTTTCTTTTGATGGGGTTAAAGCCCAGGGCTATTTGTCAGATCAGGCCTGAGTTTTTTCCAATCCCTTTGAAACCTTTTTTTTCCTCGCCCGTTGTTTTCCCCTCAGCATTTTCCTTTCCCCGGCTAACTATGATTTTGACTATTCTTCTTGTTATGTATTCAATATACAAGAAACAACTCCTGCGCTATTTCTGTTCCTTGGGGAAACCCCCCATTGGGCATTCCCCCCATTCAAAAATTCCTTGATCAAACAGTCTTGTTTGTTTTTCCTGTCTGTTTTCTTTTTTGTTTTTCCCAAATTCTTGTTAGGTGCCCTGTAAAAAAGTTTTTCCAAGAAAATGAAATTGCCCATTTCTCCTCTCCCCTGTCTTATTCTGTGACCTAGTGTGTAACTTCCTTTTGTTAATCTTTCCATACTTTACATACTATATGTTCAGTGACACTTGTGTGTAGGAATGCTGTCTGTTGTTTATTTATTAAAAAATTGGCATTTCCCCTGTTTCGATTGACTTTTGAAGATTCTTTTTAACGGCACACACAGTCCCTTTGCTCCCCTCCCGTTGAAGGGAGATATTATCTGGCCCCACCGCCTTCTGGGTATCGTAATGACTCCCCCCGGGTTGTGTATTTTGTGTTTTTCTTTAACGGGTTTGCATCTCTTTTCTGGGTTTTGCTGGGAGCCTTTTTGTCTCGGGAGAATACCCCCCTTTATTTATGCAAAGTCTTCACAATTTCCTGGTCATTCTGTGGATTCCCCCCTGCCTTCTTAAACATGATTTATCATTCTAAAATTGTTTTTGAACCCTTCTCTTCCCATAAAACCCGTTTTGGCTTTTGGGTCAGCCCCTTGTTTTCTTATTTTTCCATGCTCTAGACTTTAGGTTTGGGCCTCTTACCCTTGTTTAAAACCCGAGCTCTCTAGGGGTCTTCCTTTGTTTCTATGGCCCTGGGTAGAACCCCTCTGCCTCCCTGCATTTTTTGGCCCAAGTTCCTTTTTTATCTATTCCTATTTTTCCCTCAAATTCTTTGTCCCATTCTTTTCTACAGGAATTCCCTTGCCGTGTGGTCCCTCTTTTGAAGTTCGAGTTCTCCACCCCTTTAACATACTGCTTCACTTTTCTGTTAATTGCACTGGTATTCAAGACTCAAGACCATGTGTCACTGACCGAGGGGCCTTTCTATGAATACCCTCATGTTAGAATGAGTGCGGGTTAATCCCAACCGATTTTCCCTTGCGGGTTCACCCAGTCTTTTTTCTCTGTCTCTCTGGTTTATCCCTAACACGTTGGGTATGAATTTCTAATTACCACCTCCAGTTTTTTAGCCCCCCAATTTCTGGTCCCCATGTGGTTCTTGGTTTCCAAGTCATTTCCTTGTGGTTAAGACCCATGACCATTTTAACTTTGTCCTGCTCATGAGGGCCCTTTTTGCTACTAGTGTTTTCCCCTTTTTGCTCTATGTTTTCATATACTCTTATTTTGTTCCCCCATTCCTTCAGCCCCCTCCCCTCCAATACTGTTCCGTTCCATTCTTGCCCTTTGCTTTAAAAGCTTCTTAATTTCGTTCCCCAGGCTCTGATCTTTGCCTCGTGCTGCGTTCGTCTCTCCATTTTTTACTTTCGGCAATCTTTTTCCCTCTTTTGCTTTATAAGACTCATTAAACTTTTTTTCCCCACTCTTGTTTCATCGGGGCCCTTAAAACCCGCACCCTTTTATTTTATTAAAACCCCCTTTGGGCTCCAAGCTTCTTTTGCCCCTGGTTCGGGACCCCTTTCTGCGTAATTGGGTTTCTGGTCGGTACTAAAGCTAACTTGGTTTTGTCCTTTTGGCTTCAAGTAAAAAACAAAAACCAAAAATACTCAGTTGCTGTGGCCCCCTTTTGTGTTAAACAATATTTTACATATGTAAACATACATTTTGTAAGTTTTGAAGAAAAAAAAGTTTGTTTGTTTTGGATTCAACTGGGGAAAGTCTTCTTTCTTTGCCTTTTCCTTGTATACACAGTGTGAATACTTTGGGTGGAGAGTAATTGTTTGTGTATGAATGCACGTGTGTTGATATGTGGGTGCTTTGCTCTGATGAGTGCAGGTTGTAGTGCGGGATTGGTTGGACCCCTTGAGTGAGCAATTGGGGCCCAACTGTTCACTGGCCCGTACTAATTCCCTCTCTCCCTTTTTACCCTTCTTAAAATTTTGTATGGTCGTGCCTCTATAATCACCTCCTACTGTTTCTCTTTTTACAACTCTGTGACTGAAGAGTACTTCCTAACATCCCCGTGGGTCATCAGTTTTCAACTTTAAAAAGTGACTCCTTTTTGCGTGTCCATAGTTTTAAATTTTTGTCCCTTCCACCTAGTCAATTCATCCAGTATTTTTTATGCCGTTATTTGTTTCCCCCTTTCCTTCCCGTTTCC